GTGGTGGTTCACTCACTCCTGTAATCCCAGCACTTTGGGAGGCTGAGGTGGGTGGATCACCTGAGGTCAGGAGTTCAAGACCAGACTGGCCAACATGGCAAAACCCTGTCTCTACTAAAAATACAAAAATTAGCCAGTCATGGTGGTGGGCACCTGTAATCCCAGCTGCTCCGGATGCTGAGGCTGGAGAATCACTTGAACCTGAGAAGTGGAGGTTGCGGTAAGCCGAGATCATGCCATTGCACTCCAGCCTGGGGGACAAGAGTGAAACATTATCTCAAACAGACACACACACACACACACACACACACACACACACGCACACACCCCTACCATATAATTTAGCAATTTTACTCATTAGTATATTCTACTCATCAATTCTACTACCAGCTTTATTCTTGATAGCCTTAAACTGGAAACAGCTCATATTTCCATCAACAGGATATGAGTTAAATTGATGTATATTCCAAAATGAATATTGTACATCAATGAAAAAGAGGGTTTGTTTTGTCATATATCAATATTTTAAAGGTTTATTTAGGACAGTATAGTATTAGCACAGAATAGACAAAATGTCTAATGGAACCAGAAGCAAGAGACAAAAATACCCATGTATATCTTGGAACTTGACAAATAAGAGAGATGGCCTTGCAGATTATTGAGGAAAGGATGGACAGTACAGTTATGGTGTCCTAACAGTTGATTACCCATATGGGAAAAAATAAAACTAATTTCCCTTATGGGAAAAGGAAAAAAAAACTTAACAGCACACAAAAACCAACTCCAAACTCACTGAAAACTGAAATGTAAAAGGAAAAAATTTAAAATGATTGAAAGACAAAATAAAATCTCTTTATGACCATTTTTTAGGAAAGGACTTCCTAAGGCACAAAAAGCCCACATTTTAAGGAAAAAGATTGATAAATTTGATATTATTAAAATGAAAAACTTCTCTTCATCCAAAGTCCCACAGATAAACATAGTGACTGATCATGTTATAGGAAAATACATTCATAATACAGTTAACAAAAGGTGAGCACTCATAATATATTATTTTAAAGAATTGGTTCACGATTGTGGGGGCTGGCAAGTCCAAAGTCTGTAGGGCATGCCAGCAGGCTGGAAACTCAGGCAGCTGTTGATGCTGTAGTCTTGAGGCAGAACTTCTCCAGGAAACTTCACTTACTGCTCATAAGACCTTCAACTGATTGGATAAAGTCCCGCTCTTTCCCACATTATCTAAGGTAACCTCCTTTAATCGTCAACTCATTATAGATATTAACCACACATACAAAATACCTTCATAGCAACAACTAGATTACTGTTTGATTAAATAACTGGACACTGTGGCTAAGTTGACATGTAAAACTGGTAATCACAATGCGCTACATTATTAATCATGGAATGCAAATTCAGGCCACAGTGAGACACAATTTTATATCCATTAAATTGAGAAAACTTAAGTCTAATAACACCAAGCATTGAAAGGAGTGGATCAGCAGGACTTTCATCTGCTGTTGATGGGACTGTACACTGGTACACCATTCTGGCAAACAAGTTGGCACTTCCTTGTAAAGTTGATCATTTGCATACATACACCATAGAATTTCTCTCCTTGAGGAGCTCTTGCACATGAATGCCAGGGGATAGCTGAAATTTACAGGAATGTGATGTTAGTTTTTAAAAAATACTAACAGTAAAACAACAACCTGGAAACAAACCAAATATTCAGTTAGTAAAATGGATACATAAATTATACTCTAGTTGTAGAATGGCATAGCAGACAGCAGTGAATAAATGAATGATGGCCACATGGAACAATGAATTGTAGAGACATAATGAGTCTAAGAATCAAGGCACAGAAGATTGAAAATAGCATAATACCATTTTTATAAAGCTCAAAAACAAGTAATAGGAAACTATAATGTTTGGGGCTACATGCCTATATAACAGATACAGACCTACGTGTAAGGAATGAAGGAATGCAGAGGTAGGTGCTAGTGTTGTCAGTGTTCTAGTCAAGTTTGATAGTGAGTTTCTAAGTGTTTATTTTCTTTATTACTACTCATAACTTAACATATATTGCAGATCATCTTTTCATTTTACCAAATTACATACATTTTAAAAGAAAATTAACAAAACATATGCTTCCTATTTCCAGTCCAAAGGACTGAAATTTAAAAGTAGTGTGCTTTAATCTATGAAAACCTTTCTTAGAACAATTTTTTTTAAAACTGAAACTAAATATGTGAAGAGCTTAGAAGACAATGTAGTTCAAGTTTATAACTAAGGCCATGCTTCATCGAAGAAGTCTAGATCAGCTGGAACAATGGTTAACTTTTTTGTTGAGGGTTGGGTGGTAAGATTTTTGACCAACTGCTTTGATCGACTGCTTTCTGGAGAGAGGAAGCTATCGATCCTCTCTCCAGAAAGCATTTCATATTTGCAAAATTTGTCACTTAACTTCAGCGGGTGATACTGCATCTAGTCTGGAAATAGGTTACTAAAGCTATCTAATACCAATTATTACTAACTTTTCTTGACATTGGCAGTCAGATGACAAAGTATTTTCATCATAGGTGCTACTTCACTTCATTCCTTAAAATCAGCAAGTTAGTGGAAATGTTAGAAAGCTAGGTTAGTATAGGGAGGCTCTAATTTTTGTTCTTTTAATTCTATGTGACGGGGCATAGAATTATTTTGGCAAATGGTTACTGGGACTCTCTTTCAGGTTTTAAGTTTTTAATTTGGCCAACTTGCCAAGGCTCAAATTGAGGGATGACCCACTTTTGCCTGGGTCAAAGAAACCAGGGCATGGAGAAAAATAATTGGGTTTTTCTTTGTAGGAAGCTTTGTAGGGTTTCCCACTTGGCAAACTCGGTATCTCACATGTGATACATAGAAGAGCTGTGAGTAGAAGTATGGGTGTTTTCAACATAAAATTTCTAAGTTGCAAAATGCACCTTTGAATACTTAAGCTCTCTTAGGTAATTCTCTTGGCTGAATGAGAAATGTAACATGTCATTTGTTTACGGATACTTGATAATGTGAAGAGCAGTATCATGTTTTCTTTATCTAGCATTTGACAGCTGTTAACCAGTGAAATGAGAGATTAGATTCTGTGCAACTAAAAGCACACACTGGATCTCTTAGAAAAAAACCGTGTCACCTTCTATATAAAGTATTAAATTAGTCGATTGGCAAGATGTGTATGTTATGCTATTGAGACAGTGATATTTTCTTAATGAAGAGTACAGTAAATGTTTTTACAAGTTCAAGAAAATGTTAAGCTCACAAGATAAAAAATTACCATAGTCATATGTAAACTAATCTGTATATTGAGCATAGTACCGTATGATTCAGCAAACACTATTTTACAAAATTGCTAAGTGTATATGTTTTTTAAAGTTTCTAATATTGGTTGCTAATAAAGAATACTATGTTATGAACTTTATCTTTTGTATCATAGAGGATTATCTTTTTTCACCCAACTTCATTTTTATACTTCGCCTGTTATATCACTCTTTTTTTTCTTCTTGGGTTGGGTTAAAAGGCAGAACATTTTTTAACTTGTAGCTGTCCTCTTATTTATCATCCATTTCTACGTTACTTATATGATTACTTATAGGGCACTCGTGGTATTGCTTTTATAACTGTTAATGATAGTGTACTGTTTCTAAAGTTAATGCTGGAAGACATAAGTCAATATCTCATAGAGGTTGAGTGACATCCTTGAAGCCAGACGGTTAGAGTGAATCTCCTCTCAGCAAGTTACTAGCTATATGTCCTTGGCAACTTTACTCTGTTCTTCCTGATTGTTAATAAAAGTGAATGTAGTGCCTGATACCTTGTAAAAACTAAACAAATGATAACTGTAATAGCAACAATAAGATTATTATTGAATTAAGCATTTTAGGTTACATACTTAACATAGTAATACCTGTGTATATTTAGCATATTTATTTGCAGTATAGAACAGATTGGCTGTAACTCTCCAATCTGGAGTTGGAATGTCTGTGTGAGTCTAGTTCCTTTGAGTATATTGTAACTGCATCTGTTATGTATTATGAGTAAAATTTTTAAGGGCCACATACTGATTTAACAAAATAATTAAATTATATTCACTTTATGTTTGAGTGCCTACCATATGCAAAGCAAGGCAGGTAATATATAAATATATAAAATGCAGTTTCTGTTCCTAAGTACTATCAGTTTAGCAGAAAGGATTAGGGAAATAGAGGAAATCTACTCTTATAGGCATCCAAATGGATAGAGGTTGTGCTATCAGGAAAAAAAAGTTTAGGCTATGTTAGTAATAGAAGCAGAATGAGCCATACACCAGTTTAAACATCATGGGGAGCCAAGGGGAAATAAATGGAACTACATGCTATGTCTTAGTAGTTATCCAGGGATCTGTAAGTTAAGGTTTGCAATCTACATTTATTTTTTCTACATGTTTGTGCTCTGAGCATCTACAGGTGTATTACTTGTTAAAAGCTCTATATGTAGCATGCAGAAATATAAATTAATACTTATTTCTACAAGAGAGGCATAATAGAAGTTATGACCATTGTTTACATAGAGGAAGGAGAGGTCATGTTCTGTGGAAAATTATCAGAAGCAGCTTCATGAAAGAACATTTGAGCTGAGATTTCATAAAGATGCATGTGATTTTAGGCAAAGTTTGGGAAATTTAGTGATATGTTTGTCACATGCTACGTCAAGGAATAAGTGTGAGTAGAAAGAGAACAGTGCATGGTATACTCATGAGATAGCGAATCTTCCATTTGAGCAGGAATGTGGGCTATGTGTAGGATATCTGGTGAACCTTGAATACATTTAATTTAATTGAGTAATGGGGATCCATGAAAATTTTTTTTTTACATGGGACATAGTGGTGGTAATGGTAGTTGTGGTGGTAGGCTAATAGAGCTAGATTATCTAGTAACTGCATTTATGTGTTTATTGAATTCATGGTGGTTTTTTTTCCCCTCCTTTAGGAAGTTCATGATTTGTTAAAAGACTATGACTTAAAGTATTGTTATGTGGACAGAAATAAACGAACAGGTAAGATTTCTGTTCTAAGCATCTAATTTCATTTTGATTCTCTATATACTAATTACAGAATAGAAAAGCTTAGTGTCTTTTCATGCTTAAGCTAATAATGAAATTCTTAAGCCTTAAATCATGAAAATGTAACCCACAAAATCTGTTTTCTGAAGGTAATGTTGGTATCCTAAATACTGATTGCATAAATATAATAAAATATAATGTTAACTAGAGACTTACACATTTTTATAAATAATGTTGTGTTACAGTGAATGTTCTTCATAGACTTGAAGTTCCTCGATTTTAATTGTATTTTACTGGATTTAGTGAGGAGACTATGTAGACTTGACTTTTAGCTGGGCAAATTGAGAAACTCACTTAGGTTCTCTGGGTATTAGTTTATATCCTTGAGATTGAAAGACTAGATTATTTCCTTTTTATACATGTAATATGCAGCTGCTTGAAAGCATCCTTTAGAGACAATAAAAATAAAGTATGGAGGATAACATAATCACTATGTACTTATCTACTCCCAAATTATCAAACGGTAATATCTTGTCCTTACAACGTATATGCATAGCTAGAGCCCTCATATAGATCTGCTGAATTTCTTCAGATTAAAAAAAATGGTAAAAAGGAACATACAGATAAATATGAAATTCACTTTCTTTTTTTTTCAATGAGCATATATTTTTATTTCTAGAAATTCTGTTTCCTTTTCAAATATTTCTTTTTTGTAATATCTTTTTTTAATTATACTTTAAGTTCTGGGGTACATGTGCAGATCTTGCAGGATTGTTACATAGGTATACACATGCCATGGTGGTTTGCTGCCTCCATCCGTCATTCACCTACATTAGGTATTTCTCCTAATATTATCCCTCCCCAATCTCCCCACCCGCTGCTATCCCTCCCCTAACCCCCGCACCCGCCAACAGACTCCAGTGTGTGATGTTCCCATCCCTGTGTCCACGTGTTCTGATTCTTCACCACCCATTTATGAGTGAGAGCATGCAGTGTATGGTTTTCTGTTCTTGTATAAATTTGCTGAGAATGATGGTTTCCAGCTTCATCCATGTCCCTGCAAAAGACATGAACTCATCCTTTTTAATGGCTGCATAGTATTCCATGGTGTATATATGCCACATTTTCTTTATCCATTCTATCATTGATGGGCATTTGGGGTGAAGGATATGAACAGACAGTTTTTAAAAGAAGACATTTATGCAGCCAACAAACATATAAAAAATGCTCAGCATCACCAGTCATTAGAGAAATGCTTATGAAAAAAACCACTTTGAGATATCATCTCACCCCAGTTAAAATGGTGATCGTTAAAAAAATTTGGAGACAACAGATGCTGGAGGGGATGTAGAGAAATAGGAACGCTTTTACATTGTTGGTGGGAGTGTAAATTAGTTCAGCCATTGTGGAAGACAGTGTGGTGCTTCCTCAAGGATCTAGAAATAGAAATAACATTTGAGACAAATCTATTTTCTACTAGTATCTGATTCCATTCCCTCCCTCCCTCCTTGTCTAGGGGCAAGCACTTATGAATTTGGTGCATATTTTCTAATTTATGCCATTATATTGTTATAGTCATTAAAGCAGTTCACAAATTCTTGTTCTTTTTCTTCTGAGCACAAGGTAAGAGCCAACATGTGGTCTCCTGCTCACACTTACCTGTCATAAAGTAATTGGGGAAGGTCACAGAACCTCTTTCAACCTATGTCTCAGAGTGACTATAATGAGCAAAAGTTCCTTCCTTCCTTACCTTCAGCATGGGATATGCAACGTGAATCAGAAGAAAGCCTTTTGTTCTGTTATGCCACTGAGATTGTGGGAAAGTGTTACCAAAGTATCTTGACTAACCTGTAATTTTACCATATGTACCTATATATAATTAATGGTAATCTCTTTTTTAAGATTTTCATAAATGGTATTCTACTGTATGTTTCATTTAGCAACTTACTTTTTTTTTGGGTTAACTCAACGTTGCTTTTCAGATCTTTCCACATTGATGTGCATAACTCAGGTTCATTGATTTAATCTACTACGTGTAATTACTGTGCAAATTTATTACAATTAATATTTTTGTTACTGATTGGCATTCAGGAAGCTTTAACTTTCCCAATATTTCAAGCGATGCAATGAATAGCCTTTTAGTTGACTACTAACATAGATTTCAACTGTTTCTCCATAACTGAAGCTCTGAGTCATAGGTGTGCACAATTTCAATGTTACTAGATATTGACAGTGGGATTAGAGGTAGCAGTCTTCACAGCTCACACAGAGCCAGGAATTATATTCCCACCAGTCAGGATGATAAACCTCATAATTTATGGGGCATCAGAAGGAATAATCAGAAAGTTATTGTCTTGGGAATGGGGAAAACTAACTCGAGATTAATGATGCTCATGTCCTACCTAACAAAACTTAAGACCAGAAAGGATCAAACTTGTAACTTAACCACATCCTGGAACAAAACTCAAGAATATATATATGGGTCAAAAACGTATGACACCTTACAAAGTAAAATTTATGATGTCAGACATCTAATAAAAAAGTAGCAGATGGTCAGGCGCGATGGCTCATGCCTGTAATCCCAGCACTTTGAGAGGCCTAGGTGGGTGGATCCTTAGATTAGGAGTTTGAGACCAGCCTGGCCAATATGGTGAAACATTGTCTTTACTAAAAATACAAAAATGAGCCGGGCGTGGTGGCATGCACCTATAGTCCCAGCTACTAGGGAGGCTGAGGCAGAAGAATCGCTTGAACCCCAGAGACGGAGGTTACAGTGAGCCAACATCATGTCACTGTGCTTCAGCCTGGGCCTGGGTGATAGAGTGAGACTCTGTCTCAAAAAAAAAAAGTAGCAGACGTGATGAAGAAACAGGAAAACCTAACGTATAACAAGGAAAAAAAATCAATCGAAACTGACCTAGAATTGACACAGATGAGTTAATAAAAATGAACATTAAACCAGTTTTTATAATAGTGTTTCATATCTATAAGAAGGTATAGTAAAGACCGAACATGGTAAATGGAGACATGGAAGATCTAAAATATTATCTAAATTAAACATCTGGAGATGAAAATTACAATGTCTGACATGAAATACACTGGATAAGATTAATGGCAGAATAGACATTTTAGAAGAAGAAAATAGTGAACTTGAAAACAATTATAGAAACAATCCAAAATGAAACATAGAAAAAGGATTGTAAAACATGAGCAGAGCATCAGTGAACTGTGGGACAGCTTCAAGAGCAATTAGAGTCCCAGGGGGTAGGAATAGTTAAAAAAAAAAAAGAAAGAAAAAACAAAGAATTAGTGGCTGAAAAGTTTTTAAATTTTGATGAAAATTCTAATCCCAGAAGTCCACAGAGTTCAACCAACATCAACCACAAAATCATGAAGAAAACTACAAGGTACGTTGTAATCAAATTGCTTACAGTTAGTGATAGAGAGTCTTAAAAGCATCCAGAAATAAAGGATACATCACTGATACATTTAGCAGGACAAAGATTGAGGTGACTATAGGTCCTTGGAAACAATGCAAGTGAGAAGACCATAGGGTAACATCTTTTCATTCTTTATTAAAAGAAAAAAAAAACACAACAGGTCAGCATAGAATTATTTACCTATTGAAAATATCTTTCAAAAACAGTGATGAAATAGAGATTTTTTCAGTCATACAAAAGTTAAAAGAATCATCACCGTTAGACTTGCATTACAAGAAATACTTAAGGAAGTCCCGCAAGCAGGAAGGAAATTATAGATGGAAATCTCTACCAACCAGCAAAATGATTAATACTTGATATGGTCATTATGTGGGTAAAGACTTTTGTCTTAATATTCAAATCTCTTTAAAGTATAATCGACTGTTAAAAGCAAAAATAATAACATTGTATTGTGAGATTTGTAACACATGTAGAAATAAAATGTATAACAGTGATAATACAAAGGCTGGGAGAGGAGAAATGGGATTGCACTGTTATAAGTCCCTTATATGGTACATGAAGTGTTACAACTTTTGACAGTTGACTGTGATAAGTTAAAGATGTATACTGTAAACCTTAAATTACCTGCTAAAATCACACAACACAGAAATCATTAATTGTATTAGATGATGTTGCCTTGGATTTTAGGACCTATAGTGGTGTTTGTAAAAACGTAAAATTAATAATTGATAAAAGATGGTTACAATTCTAAACTGTAACCTTGTAGGCAGAGCTTTCTATAGTAGATATAAGGAAATTATTAGTAGTAAAATAGGATATATTAGGGGAACAAGTTTTGGCACTTGCTTGCTTTCAAATTGGACTCAATAATAAACTAAATAGTAGACCATGCAGTGTCTTTTAAAAGAATTGGGACCAGTTGTGGGATATTTAAATTTCACTAGGAAAACCATAAAATAGTTACTTCCAAAATTCTCTTGCAGCCTTTTCTCTGTGACATCTACCATTCCCATGAAAACCAGTGTGTGAATTTTTTTTTTAAAGAGAATTTGTGATCTTGGTAAAACGTGGAAGAACCTATAGAACAGAAAATGTGACCTCCTTTCCCTACTGCCTGGACTTTTAAATTTGTTTCATTACGTTATTTAAATTCTTTATAAAATCTCTTAGTTTAGTTGAGCAAATGCAGATACCTAAGAGAAGTCAAAAGAGATGTTCAGTTTTTAAATGTACGAGTTGATTTATATATGCATTTATTCATCTAACACAAAGCTTCTACCATATGTCATGCACCATGATAGTTGGTGAAATATATTCATTAGTAGTTTAGGGAGCTCACAGTCTAGTAGGGTAGCAGGCAAACAAATAGATTACAATGTGATGTGATATATGCAATAATCCAAGCAATGTTCAAGATAGAGAGGTACAAAAAAATAAGAAATGGTTAACTCTAACTGTAAGAGAGGATCAGGGAAGGCTTCCTGGAGATCATGATGCAGTAATGCATGGGCTGAATTTGAAAATCAGCTAAAAGGTTCCAGGTATCCTAAGATATAGGGAGTGATCTTACAGGCAGGGGAATTAAATGTGTAATACATAAATACCTGAAATAACTGGATCTCTACCGGGAGCTACAAATATTTCTGTGTTTTTGGAGAATGAAAGACCTGTTGGGGAAGAGAGGAAGTATGCCAGTTAATGAGGCTGGAGTTAGATGTAATGGGCATTGTAGAACATCTGAACCAACCTGGCACTTGACTTTTGTGGGGAATAAACAACCTTTGCATTTAAGGCAGTAAACAGGCACAATTAAACTTCTGTTATTTAAGAGATCACTTTGTCATCACTGTGGAGAAAGGATTAAAAAAAGAAAAAGCTAGAGGAATGAAGAAAGGGGGGTGGATTCAAGACCCATTAGATGGGTGGAATTTGAGGATTCATTTTATATGAGAAATGACGGAGACAGGGTGTAGGTTAATTCCCAGGTTTCTGATTTGTGAGTGCTGTGTGACCAGCTAAAATAGGGAATAAAGGAAGATGAGCAGTATTAGGATTTGTTTTGTTTTGTTTTGGCAGAGATCCTCATGTTAGAGGATCATGAGTTATGTTTGGGAATCAGTATGAAGTTTTATGTGGCACTAAAAGTTATAAACATAGATTTGGGAGTTATAATAGTATTGGAGGCCTTCTGCAAGTCCTCAGATGAGGTTATTTTGCTCATTGCTTTCATAGCCCCTCCTCCTACTTCCCTTTTGGTGATACCACATTTGTCACTCTTTGTTAAATGTCTAGCATCCTTTATTAGATTGTGAGCTCTGTGTTAAAAGGGATCTTACCTCTTGTGTTCACCAAAACATTTCCAGTGCCAGACTTGGTATCTGGGACATGATATGGAATACATGGGAATGGGCATGATCGCCCCTAGAGGAAGAGGGTATAGAGTGAAAAAAAAGAGATTCAGTGGCCAAACATTGAGTAACACATGTGGCCACACAGGTGTTACTGTGTGTGACTCTGCCAGGAAGGCACCCCAAGGAGTACTACTTTATAGGTGTGAGTGGAGGAGGAGAAAGAGCTAGCAAAAGAATAGAGGAAAGAGAGCTTGGACAGTTATGAGGAGAATCAAGAAAGTTAAGAAAGGACTAGTGCAGTGGCTCATGACTATAATCCCAGCACTTTGGGAATCAAATGGTATTTTATGTCAGCGTAAGGAAAAAGACATAGAATCAAAATCAAGCCTTTAAAAAAAATGGTTTTAGAAACTAAGAGGCTCTCAAAAGGGTCAGTACAGCCACTTTTTCCCCCATTTTTGCAAAAGAGATGTTGGAACCGTTAGCTGTTCTTTTGGCAATAGTTTTCTTACATGCGGGGCATGTGTTAAATGAAAAATGTGTTTCTTTAAATGTTAGCATCACACTCAGTGTGGTGAGAGGCTCTTACTCTGAGAGCTGCATAAGCACTAAGACATTTGAGGGTACGGCAGAATTGCCCATGCTACTTAAACTGTTTCTCTCTCTCTCTTGCTATATACATATTTGCTGTATACAGCATATCACCATGCTGTTCTAATTGAATTTGGGTAAATTAAATGTTCATGTGTGATAACTTCACTATAAATTTCAGAGAGAGGGACAGGAACTTCTAGAGAGCTATTTATTTGTAATTTGTGGATTGCCATGTATTTTTTTTTAGTGGGAGCTTTAAATTTTTCCTCTAAAATTGCTTAAAACCTTTTACATTCTTTTATTATAACAGGTAGACAAATTGATATGGTTAAAATGTAATTTTATAAGATAGGAATATACATAATATTTCATTGATTTAGAATGTTGTATTTGTATTATGTTTTCAGTCATATAAATTGTCATATGCATTTGTTGCTTGATGCTGGAACAACTTCATTAGGCAGGCAGGACACATGATTTTTATTGTTTAATGAATATTCAAGATCTTGTCCTTTTTTTTTTATTTTTGAGACGGAATCTTGCTCTGTCGCCCAGGCTGGAGTGCCGTGGTATAATCTTGGCTCACTGCAACCTCCACCTCCCAGGTTTAAGCAGTTCTCTGCCTCAGCCTCCTGAGTAGCTGGGATTACAGGTGCATGCCACCATGCCCAGCTAGTTTTTGTATTTTTAGTAGAGACAGGGTTTCACCATCTTTGCCAGGCTGGTCTTGAATTCCTGACCTTGTGATCCACCCGTCTCAGCCTCCCAAAGTGCTGGGATTTCAGGCATGAGCCACTGCGACTGGCTCTCAAGATCTTGTCTTAAGATCAGAATCCTGTAACCTTCTCATTTGATATTATTCATCAAAAGTGTATCAAATTATAAGTGTCTGTGTATTATTTCAATCTAATCTGATATTAAGGACATATACACATGAATTGAAGAAAGAAATGGCCTCGTTTGTGCATTTTGATGTTTTTGCTGTATCTTCGTTTTTTCAGGTCCTCGCTGTCAAATAGGGTCTTTTAGAACGCTAAGAAGAAAGATTTTGTGACTTCATTTTTATTTCTGTGAAGGTTTATATAAAGGCTTCATAAAATTTTATGTAACAGGTTTTTGGGTGGGAGGAAATAAAATATGTGTGTGATTGGAAAAGATTAACAAAACCCCCCAGAATATTGTGGGATTTTAGTAATATAATCCCTGTCCTTTCTATTCAGGTTACTGGTGATGAAATTAGTTTAGTGGAGGTGTGAGCATTAAAAACCAATGAAATGGAATAAAAAAAATCACAGTGCATTACATATAGTAGGGGTATTACCTCCTAATTTTGTTTCAGAAAAAAGTGTATGTTTATGTGTACTGAGTCATAGAAGTAAGATGTATTTCTTACTTATTTTCAAACAGTTTGAAAATACTGGCCTAGAAAACTCTTTCTTTTCTCTTTATTCATTTTGTTATCTTCCAGCTTTTGTTACCTTATTGAATGGAGAACAAGCCCAGAATGCAATTCGGATGTTTCATCAATATTCTTTTAGAGGAAAAGACTTAATAGTCCAGCTTCAGCCAACAGATGCTTTGCTGTGTATTACCAACCTGCCCATTTCTTTTACATTAGAAGAGTTTGAAGAACTTGTTCGTGCTTATGGAAACATTGAGAGATGTTTTCTAGTCTATAGTGAAGTTACTGGCCATTCCAAAGGCTATGGATTTGTGGAATACATGAAAAAGGACTTTGCTGCAAAGGCTAGATTGGAACTATTGGGTAAACAGTTGGGAGCATCAGCACTCTTTGCACAATGGATGGATGTTAATCTGTTGGCTTCAGAGCTCATTCATTCTAAGTGCCTTTGTATTGATAAACTCCCCAGTGACTACAGGGATTCAGAAGAGCTGCTGCAAATTCTTTCCAGTGTTCATAAACCAGTGTTTTGCCAGGTATGTATTTTTAAGAGATTATTGGAAATATTTAAAAATATATGTATATGTATCTAATCTACATATACTCACAAATTTATCATACCTCTTTGATTAACACAATGTATGATTTAATTCTGCATTATTCTGTAGGGAAGACTTTGATCTCATGGGAAATTTTAAAACAGTTCCACCGTTTATGGGCCAAAGTATATTGTTAATGTAGTTAAGTATGCCTTAGCAAATCCATTGCTTACTCATTCACCTCATTCCATCCATTCACCCCACCATTTATCCATTGATCCATTCATATATCCAACTTATATTTACCATCTTCTGTGCCAGACATTATGCCAAGTGTCAGAAAGGCAGAGAATGGAAAGATACTCTATATCAATACCTCAGAAATTTGTAGAAGAGGCTGACAAATAAACAAATAATTGCAAATCCTATATGAAGAGTGATATAATGGAGGATAGAAAAGTATTATGAAGTTTAAAAGGAATGTATAGTTCTGTCTTAATGTGTCACGGTAGGTGAGACATCTAGAGAAGATCCTGAAAACTGATAACACTGGTGAGAATTTTCAAGCATTTTATCATAGTAAAATTAAATACATTCTAATAAATATATATACACACACACATATATACTGTATATAACTCCTTTCCTTACAGAGTTTTGATAGCAACTGATCAATTATTTCTGTCTTGTTTCTCTCCATTTCTTCCTTCTCTCTCTTCCTTTTTACCACCCTCCTTTCCCATCCATGCTCCTTTTCCTCTTACCTCCCTTGTTTCCTGTCCTCCTTTGGGTTTTTTCTTTAATGATACATTTGTTGAGTTCCTAGTATTGCAGAAGTTTTGGAGTACATATATATATATATATATATATATATATATATATACTCACACATATATTTATTTTTTAAGTTGACAATTAAAATAGTATTCATCATGTATAACATGATGTTTTGAAGTATATATACATTGTGGAATGGCTAAATTGAGCTAATTAACATACATATTACCTTACATAGTTACCATTTTTGTGGCAAGAACATTTAACATCCACTCTCATAGTATTTTTCCAGAATACAATGTTGTTATTAACTGTAGTCATCATGTTGTCCAAAAGATCTTTTGAACCTATTTTTCTTACTTAACTGAAATGTTGCATTTTTTAACCAATATCTCCCCAAGCCCCCACACCAATCTCCCAGGCGCCTGGTATCTTCCATTCTACACTATACTTCTACGAAATCAACGTTTTAAGCTTCCATATATGAGTGGAATTATGCAGTAATATATATTTTTAACAATTTTTTTGAGACAGGGTCTTCCTCTGTTGCCCAGGCTGGAATCATGGCTCACAGTAGTCCCAAACTCCTGGGTTCAAGCGATCCTCCTGTCTCAGCCTCCCAAGTACCTAGGACTACAGGTGCATATCACTATGCCCAGCTAATTTTTATTTTTATTTTGTAGATACTGGGTCTCGTTATGTTGCCAGGCTGGTCTCAAACACCTGGGCTCAAGTGATCCTCCTGTCTTGGCCTCCCAAAGCTCTAGGATGGGTTTATTGATAGGTTCTTCTTGAATACTAAGAATTATATAATGTTGTCATCCTATGGCCATACATAATTCCTTGTATCTTTATTTGAGGCCTTTGAAGCAAATGTAAAGAGAAAGGCCATGTTTATAAATTGTATTTGAATTGCAAATCCTACCATTAGAAGGGACGGTATCATAAATTGCATTTGAAGTGTGAATCCCAGAGTTGGAAGAGCCCTTAGAGATTATCTAGTATAGGTTTACACATCATAGAAAATATTTGCTACCATATTTTTGAGTTACCATCTAGCTTCTGCTAGAATACTTCAAAATAGTAGAAAATTAACTAGATCACAAGTCAGACCATTGTATCTTTGCATAAGCTCTCATATTTGAACTGGAATAGCCCTCTCTGAAACTACTGATGCTGTGGACTTAAAATGATTTTGGTTTTTGAAAGACTTAAAATATTACAATTAGGCATGAAGGTCATAATGAAATAGGAGTAGTAAAAAAATATTTTTAAAGCTTACAAAAGATGAATAAAGCAGCTCTTTATCAGTGGGTCTGTTACTTCAGGCTCTTTTGCATTGTAGATTGGCATAGACTATATTAAAGACACAGACTCTTACCTTGTGGTCAAGAGGCCAAAATGATTAATTAATGGCTTTAACAAACCTGATTTTAAGACCTTTGGATTATAAGAGGAATAAGGTTGCTGAGAAATGTTCAGAAGAGGTAGATGTTTTTCCTTTTCCTGTGTGATTGGGAAAAGCTTGAGGAGGAAAAGATATTTGAGGACAGTTTTTAAAGGAAGAAATAATGTAAAGGAAAAAAATAGAAATTTGATCTAAATACACAAGGAAGTAGAAGAAAGTTAAACTTCAAAAACAAGATAAAAGAAACTGAAAAGGACTAAGTGATTTAGCTGTAATATCAGTTTATTGAGATACCAAACCCAAATAGAAGTATTGGAAATGTGTCTTCTCAAAGGCATACTAAGCTGAATGTTGTGCCATTTATCACTTTATAGCATGAATGTATTTAAGATAATTCATACATGTACAAAACCTAGAAACGTTTTAGTGTCTTGTCTTGTTCTTATTTTTGCTCTTTGTACCAGTCTTTTCAGATCCAGGACTTTAGTATCTTCCTTTACACTCTTACAGGTGGGTGACTAGAAATAAATCGAGTTCTACATGGCAGGGGTTTATTTAGGGCACATTCAGAAATAAAAGTTCTGTGTTGCTTTTAATAAACCTGGGACACAATTTTCCTAAATAAGGTTTGCCTTGGTATACTTGACTGAATTCCTGGGATCTGCCTAAAATAGTGAAATAAAAATGAAATGTTCCTCCTACCTTTCTTCTCTTGATAATACTAACTTTATTTTTCCATTGATGTGTGGTCAGATAATTTGTTCAGTATGTTCCACTGTCCATATATCTGGTGATTTTCATTTAAGGAAAGCTGTAATTATTGTGTCCTCATATTTCCCTATAAATTACCAGTTTATATATTTCTTAATATATGTAGAGACTATTACCATTTGGCTTGTACTATTAAAATAAATTAGAAAAATCAAAGAATTGAATAGAAACTTGACAGACTCCTATCCACAGGAAGAACTATAAGCAACTAGGAAACATTTTCATAAAGAAAGAGAATATTATTTTCACCAGTATCATGCTCCAATGCACTTATTCTTGAATTTGAAAATATATTATACATAAATGTTTCTAAGTAAAGATTGGAATTCCTGTTTAATAGAATGTATTGTATCAGCTTGCACAGGATGAAGGTAGTTACGTTGGTGGCTTTGCAGTGGTTGAATATAGCACTGCTGAGCACACTGAAGAGGTCCAGCAGGCAGCAGACGGTATGATCATCAAGGGCACCAAAGTCCAGGTTTCCTTCTGTGCCCCTGGAGCGCCAGGGCGAAGTACATTAGCAGCGTTGATAGCGGCTCAACGTGTGGTAAGTTTTTTCTCTTTCTTTCTCTTTTTTTAGGGTATAGAAAATTCTGCTACTATTTTAATCTATCCAGTCTAGCCAAAGTAATTGATTGTTGATTGGACCATCATTGCATTTTCATCACACTGAAGAGTTCTCCTTTTTTGAAAAACAGCTAAATTGTTTCTTTGTTAAGTCAAGACAGAAGTCATCACAGAAAAAGAAACTGTTTAGTGAAGTGTATTTATGTTGATAAATTTTTCAAGGGCTTTCATTTATTCAGCAAATATATGAGTTACTGTTGTGTTCTAAATTTTTGAGTGTAAATGCCTCTTTCTCTTTTTCTTTTTTGGAGACAGAGTTTCACTCTTTTGCCCAGGCTAGAGTGCACTGACGCAATCTCAGCTTAATGCAGCCTCTGCCTCCTGGGTTTAAGCAATTCTCCTGCCTCAGTCTCCCAAGTAGCTGGGACTACAGGTGCATGCCACCACGCCTAGCTAATTTTTGTATTTTTAGTAGAGACAGCATATCGCCATGTTGGCCAGGCTGGTCTTGAACTCCTGACCTCAGGTGACCCACCCGCCTCAGCCTCCCAAAGTGCTGGGATTACATATGTGAGCCGTCATGTCTGGCTGCCTCTTTTTTCCAGAAGTTTTCACAAGTAGAGGAAAATATATACCTGCTTTTTACTTATGTGGCACATTGTACTTACTTCTTTATAGTAACTGTCTACTCATTCCTCTCTACTTCTCTAGCCTGGAGGATCCTTAGAGATGGAGACTATACCTTCTTCATAGTTTTTACCTTAGTACTTAGCATAGTAAATATTTGTTAATTGAAGGAAGGAAGGAATACACTTTTGAAGGAATTGCAGAAGACTTTATGCTGAAGATGACATTTAAGTGTGACAAAGAATGGATGAGATATTGACTGGTATTGATGAGAGGTGGAAAATAGGATTGCCAGAGAAATACAGAGTTTTGCATGAGATACTCATATTACAATAATCATTCATTGTTCATCTGAACTCCAAATTTAGCTGCACATTCTGTATTTTTACTTGCTACTTCTGGCAACCCTAAAGAGGGAGAGTGAGTAGTCACACTAGGTGGAACAGAAACTACTCACACGGTGGTATGAGCTGAATTTACATGCTTGAGGAGTGATAAGTGGACTGGTTGCAGAGTGAATATGAGGATGCTTGGTGTAGGTGAATGCCAAAGCAAGGAAAAAAATTGAGTACTCAGCCAGTTTGGTAAGCAATGGAGAACTTATAAAATATAGAAACAAGATAGTGACAGTATCAGAGTGAAGCCACCATGAGATTAGCCTGAAAGTAATTAGTAGATGGACTGGAGAGAGGAGATTAGTAGAGGTGGGATAAGAAAGGAGATTGTGGTTAGCTCTCTACTCTCACATCTCCTGCCTCCTCTTCTTACTTTTTGACCTCACCTTTGGTCTTGGATTCCTTCTCCCTTTTTTCTTAGTTTGTCTGTCCTCTCATTGTTATATCCTTGCTGACGTAATTCACTACCTCAGCCATTCATTCAATATCAACTTCATCTCCTCTAGTTAAGTTGTCTCTTTGTTGGATTGGATTTGCTGGGTTTACAAGTCTGAATCCCTATAGTCACTTACTTCTGAAGTTAGGACACTGTGTCCTCTTGGAGAAAAACAAACAACTGGGTGGCATGACACTACTACAGATGTACAGCACATGTTTATAGCTGGACCCTCAGTAAATCTCCAGCTCATCTCTCATTAGTTTTTTTCCATTTTTTTTCAGCAACTATCTAAAACCTGTTTTTGTCCTTTTTCTCAGATGATCATAGCTCCTACATTATAGAAATGTAAAGGCCATGTGTTGAACTCATTCATTCATTCAGCTATTCTCACATTGCCCAAGCATGCATGTCCCTATTTTTTCCTTCCATCTCTCTTCAATAACATTCATTCCATGAGTACTTACTGGGTAGGCACTGAATGCTAGACACTCTTAGAGATGTTTAGGATTCGTCAGTGAGCAAAGCCAGTACAGATTCCTGTTCTTGTGGAGGATTGTGTCTCTTGCCAAAGCATGGGGTGTGGCTGAGTCCCCACCCTCAGGGCTCTTGATCCTCTACTGATTTTCACTTGGTGTTTCATCAGCTCCATCCTCTCTGCTATAAACATGCTCAAGTTTTTTTCCTTTTAAAATCCTCTCTCTCAAAACTCCAGAAGAAAACCTAGGCAAAACCATTCAGGACTAGGCATAGGCAAGGACTTCGTGACTAAAACACCAAAAGCAATGACAACAAAAGCCAAAATAGACAAATGGGATCTAATCAAACTCCACAGCTTCTGCACAGCAAAAGAAACTATCATTAGAGTGAACTGGCAACCAACAGAATGGGAAAACATTTTTGCAGTCTACCCTTCTGACAAAGGGCTAATATCCAGAATCTACAAAGAATTTAAATTCATAAGAAAAAAACAACCCCATCAAAAAGTGGGCAAATAGTATGAACAGACACATCTCAAAAAAAAAAAAATTTATGCAGCCAACAAACATATGAGAAAAAGCTCATCATCACTGGTTATTAGAGAAATGCAAATCAAAACCACATTGAGATACCATCTCACACCAGTTAAAATGGCCATCATTTAAAAGTCAGGAGACAACAGATGCTGGAGAGGATGTGGAGAAATAGAAACACTTTTACACTGTTGGTGGGAGTGTAAATCAGTTCAACCATTGTGGAAGACTGTGATGATTCCTCAAAGACCTAGAAATAGAAATTCCATTTGACCCTGCAATCCCATTACTGGGTATATACCCAAAGGATTATAAATCTTTCTATTATAAAGATATATGCACACATATGTTCATTGCATCGCTGTTTACAATAGAGACTTTGAACCAACCTAAATGCCCATCAGTGATAGACTGGGTAAAGAAAATGTGGGACATATACACGATGGAATACTATTCAGGCCTAAAAAAGGATGAGTTAATGTCATTTGAAGGGACATGGATGAAGCTGGAGACCATCATTCTCAGCAAACTGACACAAAACAGAAAACCTAATACTGCATGTTCTCACTTATAAGTGGGTGTTGAACAATGAGAACACACGGACACAAGGAGGGGAACATCACACACCTGGGCCGGACGGGGGTGGGAGGGCTGGGGAAGGGATAGCAGGGGATAGGGGGATTGGGGAGGGCTAACATTAGGAGAAATACCTGATGTAGATGATTGGGAGATAGATACATCAAACCATTATGGCATGTGTATACCTGTGTAACCTGCATGATCTGCACATGTACCCCAGAACTTAAAGTACAAAAAAAAAAATCCTTTTTAGATACTGGGTTTTATAACCATGGACCCAGAGTTGCTTGAACAATTAAGCCTCACGTATTGTCACCATTTCTTAATTTCCATTTCCTTCTCAGTCTAATGCAATGTAGTTTCTGCCTCCACTGTTCAAGTGAATATGTACTCATTAAGAGGAATTTTTAAATATTCAAATCTAGTGGGTACATTTCAGTCTTTTATTGGTTGGTCCCTATGCAACATTTAAAAATTTACAGGTGTGAATGGTGGCTCACACTTGTAATCCCAGCACTTTGGGAGGTCAAGGTGGGAGGATTGTTTGAGCCCAGGAGCTCGAGACTAGTCTGGGAAACATGATGAAACCCTCTCTCTACAAAAAAATTAGCCAGGCTTACTGGTGTGCGCCTGTTAGTCCCAACTATTTGGGAGGCCGAGGCGGGAGAATCACCTGAGCCTGGGATTTCAAGGCTACAGTGAGCTGTGATTACACCACTGCACTCCAGAGTGGGTGACAAGCAAGACCCTGTCTCAAAAACAAAACAAAACAAAACTCTCTCCTACCTTGAATTTTGCCACACCATTCATTTTCCTATCTGCCTATGTGTTCTTTCCCTAGCTTATTTTTTTCCCCTAAGGGCTGATACCAGTAGATTTCCAAATTTGGCCTTCTCATTTTCTTCCTGTTATATATGCCTATTAATGATGACTACCAAGCATATAATTTCAGACCAAACTGCTGTCAGCACTAGATTATATTTCCAAGGGATACTTGGACATTCCCACTTCATGCTATATAAATAGTTCAATTTCAGCATCTCAAAGAAAACTATTTTTTTCTGGGACTTGCATTTCTATGTTCTATAACACCTATATATGGCATCAGTTCATCCAAGCTAAAACTATGTTAATAAAAATTTCAGGTAAGGCTAGGTACCATGGTTCATGCCTGTAATCCCAGCACTTTCAGAGGCCACGGTGGGCGGATCACAAGGTTAGGAGATCAAGACCATCATGGCCAGCAAGGTGAAGCTCTGTCTTTACTAAAAATACAAAAATTAGCCGGGTATGTTGGTAGGCGCCTGTAGTCTCAGCTACTCAGGAGGCTGAGACAGGAGAATCACTTGAACCCAGAAGGCAGAGGCTGCAGTGAGCTGAGATTGTGCCACTGCACTCCAGCCTGGGTGACAGAGTGAGACTCTGCCTCAAACAAAACAAAACAAAAACAAGAACAACTCAGTCGTGATTGCTCTCCATCACCCACCTTCTAATCTAAATGTCAGAAATACTAGCACATCCTTTCAGTTCTACCTCCTAAGATCTCTGAAATCCTTGAGACCTTGTCAGCATCTTGATTACTTAACTCAGAATTTCATCTTTTCTCACCTCTCTGATTAGAATAATTCCCTACATGATCCCATGTCATTAGTCTTTCCCCTTCTAATCCGTCTTGCACAGTGCACAGGAGAGATCTTTCTCAGCCTCAACTCAGCTTATGTCATTCTCTTGCTTAATAATCTTTAATGCCTGCACAAGTTCACCTTCTTTAGCATAGCATGCAGACTCTTTATGATCAGATAGTAGTGACAGTGAGAAATCTTAAAAATAAGTCTTAAAAATAAGATATTCATGTAATGTTTTCTATATGTTTTTGGTACATATCCTTTGATAATATCAAGTGTTCTGAGTTTTAAAAAATCATAAATATGTGCTGAACTTTATCAGAATATTTCTATAACTATTGAAATATTCCTGATTTCTCCTTAAGTTCATTAGTGTCATTTGAGAATTACACATTCTATTTTTATCCTGCTGGTGATTGTTCCTAACTTTTTTTTTGTTGAAATGGAGTCTTGCTCTGTTGTTCAGGCTAAAGTACAGTGGTGCGATCTCAGCTCACTGCAACCTCTGCCTCCTGGGTTCAAGTGATTCTCGTGCCTCAGCCTCTCAAGTAGTGGAATTATAGGCATGCACCACCATGCTCAGCTAACTTTTGTATTTTTAGTAGAGACAGGGTTTCACTATGTTGGCCAGGCTGGTCTTGAACTCCTGACCTCAAGTGATCTGCCTGCCTCAGCCTCCCAAAGTGCTGGGATTACAGGGGTGAGCCACCATGCCTGGCCAATTGTCCATAGCTTTTTAACATGCACAGGTTTATCAGAACTTCCGTCCACTCACCTATTCTCACTTCCATCTGCTTCCTCCTTCCTACCATACCTATCATCATATTGGTGTCTACATTTTTACATTAGGATAGTCTTAAATGTTTTTGTGTTGTTTTTATGGTTATGGCTCTGTATACAAGATTAAAATGATCATATTGTCTGCCTTAATTTCCACATATTATATAGTAACATCTTACATTTCCTTCTTGTCTTGCTGGATTACTTCCTTCTAGGGGATTTTTGAAAGATAGTGTTCTTGTGGTAAAAACTTTTGAGAACTTGTATACTTGAGAATATTTTTATTTCGTTCTGATATTAAATAACTTAGATGAATCTAAAAATACAGGCTCAGAGTACTTACAGTACTTTGTATTAATTCATTGTCTTCTTGAATCTAATGTTGATGCTTTGAGAAAGAAGATGCTATTAATTTGTTTCTTGTTCCTTCAGAGATTTGTTCTTTATAGATGGAAGTTTTTAGAAGGTTTTTTGTTGTTACTGGCTTTGATGTTCTTAAATGTCACATGAAGAAATGTGATTAGGTGTGTTTTTTCTATAGAAATCGTATTTGGGAGACTGTGAACCCTTTCATTCTGTGCTCTTTAATCTTTAATAATGGGAAATTTTTCAGCTATTATTTTTTCAAAGATCTTCTCCTTCAGGGACTTCTAATATTGTGTTGATGTTTCTACCTCCGTTTTCTTCATCACCTTGCTTTTTCTTGTTTGTTTGAATTTTTCAATTTCTTTAACTGGATTTTTATGATCACTATTTTAGGCCAGGTGCGATAGCTCATGCCTATAATCCCAGCACTTTGGGAGGCTGAGGCAGGTGGATCACCTAAGGTCAGGAGTTCAAGACCAGCATGGTCAACATGGCAAAACCCCGTCTCTACTAAAAATACAAAAGACTTAGCCAGATGTGGCAGGTGCCTGTAATCCCAGCTACTTAGGAGGCTGAGGCAGGAGAATTGCTTGAACCCAGGAGGTGGAGGTTGCAGTGAGCCAAGATCACACCATTGCACTCCAGCCTGGGCAACATAGTGAGGCTATGTCTTAAAAAAAAATTCACTATTTTGTTTTTTAGTCACATGTATTCTACTATTTAACGTATCTGTTAAAGCACAGGGTAAATGTTAAGAATAATGCTTTATGAATTCCTTCAGTTTCTTTATCTATAGAATGGAGATAATAATACCAACCTTATAGAATTGGTTTTTTGAGAATTAAAGATCTAATTCATATAAACTGCTTAGAACAATGCCAAGTCTACAGTAAGAGAGGGCTGCTATTATTTTTCTCAATACTTATGTTTTTCATAATCTAGCATTTCTCATTGGTTATTCTTTGTAACTGCTTGCCCTTGGTTCATGTTTTAAATAGAAATCCATTTTATTTTTGTGATGTCTATTACATTTACTTGGCATTCTTATTATGTCCTATCCATAATTCTGCTTTCTGTCTCTTACAGTTGGTTCAGTTTGTTGCTTTTATTTTTTAGTGACTGCATTCTCCAAATGTCTAGCTATTTTTCTTTTGAATGTATGAATATACATTTCCTGTGGGAGCTGTCACCTTCCTATATGACACTGTTTAGAGGTTGTGGGGAAGGGGATGGACAGAGGGAAGCTAAAGCCTGATCTTTGCTAGGGTTTAGGGAAGGCAGATAAGGACCTCAGAGCAGAGAAATTCTGCTTTCACCATCTAGGCTTGAGCCCAGCCCTTTTCCTACCCCAGCCAGGCAGCCCTGCACCTTAGAGAGCCCCTTGAAGCCTTGCTCTTTTCCAAGTTCTGCCTGTCTTCGTTGTAACTCTTCCATCCTGCAGAGTGGGTATGGGAGGACCTGAAAAGGTCGGGAAGGTGGAAAGGTTTTCAGTGACCAGCTGGTCTGCCCACCTAGTGTTATCTTGTCCCAATTGTCTCTGCACTTGTGTGCCAGCCTGCTGTTCATTGGTCCTATGGCTGTCACTCAGCTGATGCTACTGTTTTTCCACGTTGTTGTGCTGGCCAGGAAAGCCATGCTCTCTGAAGGCAAAGTAGATATACAACTCAAAAGCCCTTCCTTAAATCAGCCTGTATGTGCATCCATGCACTCTCATGTTCTCTGCTGATGTTTACCCTCACATATTCTGTCTCCCCAGGGGTTTCTCTCAGGCTTTATGTCAGTTTCTTTGATGCATCACCTTCTCCCTCTCAATTTCACAGTACTGGGTTGGGAGAAGGATCCAGTTGTCCTTGTGAGTTCTCCATTTTCTGATCACTAAAAGTTTTAAATTTATCTTTTATGTAATTATATATAAATATTAATATTATTCTTTAAGCTGGTTTTTAAAACTGAAAACTATTTCATATTTTTAGGAAGCTACTCAGTTGCATGTGTGTAAGGCCAGTTCGTTTTAATCTCCTATTTAGTCACTGAAGTAAAGACTTAATACAAAAGAAGGTTTTGAATTATAAGGCAACCCACATTATTGAACTTCATTTTATTTTATGTTTATTTGAAGTTTTTATTTGTAAAAATATAGAAACAGGGTTTCACTCTGTCACCCAGTCTGACCTTGACCTCCTGGGCTTAAGTGATCCTCCTGCCTCAGCCTCCCAAAGTGCTAGGATTACAGGCATGAGCCACTTTGGCCAGTTAAGCTTTAAATTAACATTATAAGAAGGCTCTTCTGTAATATCAAAGTATTCATATTGTGTCAAAAAGTTATTAATAACTTCAGATTTCCTTGTCATCCTCTTTGTATTATATGATGAGACTCATTATACTAAATTGTCAGTCCTCTTAAAGCCAGTTGGTATTTACCCAAGAATTCTATGAGGATTTTATTCCATATGTATAGTTGAGAACTGTGGTAGAGATATATAATATAAATCAAATTATGTTTATCATAAAATAGATCTTATCAGATGAATGAGAATTTCTAGAAGAAAGCCTTTGAAATTGTCTTTTGTACTTATGCTTGTTCTAATGTTTCTTATTTCTGTATTCGTTGAAGATGAACAGTAATCAAAAGGGCTTACTTCCAGAGCCAAATCCAGTACAAATTATGAAAAGTTTAAACAACCCTGCTATGTTGCAAGTTCTTCTACAACCCCAGTTACGTGGACGAGCTGTTAAACCAGGTATGGACCATGTATGTACACTGATTAAAGAATGTTAGCATGAAGTTAATTTTTTCACATGTGAAATATTTAAAAATTGATTTGTGAAAAATATATTAAAATTAGCACAAAATATTTAATTTTTCTAGGACCTGCTAATGAATTTTAATCAATAATCTGAAATGATATATTTTGATGATTTTTGATATATGCAACCTGCTTATTTTTTTTTAATTAAATCTCAAACCTTCCATTTAGCTCTTAGTTGACATGAATTTATATACACTACATTGTTGTAACTTATATCAACAAAGAATTAATACTCTTCTATGTAATATTTTTAGCATAATTATTTTGTTGACGTGCCAAATGTTTGTTTCCTCTTCGCTCTTCCCCTTTTTGTTGTAAAATTGTCTTTGTAGCAAATGATGAAAACATTATTTTCTAAATATTATGAAGATCTTTATAATATCAGTATCCATTAAATACCTACCTATTTAGTATTCTTTCTCTAGTAAGAGCTTGCCTCCTGTGCATTCTGAAATGCACAACTTTTCATGTACAAAATGTCTGTTTTAGCATTATGAGGAAATGAATGCCTGTACAGTAGTTCCCCTCCCATCTCTGTCCTTGTGTGCCACAATTTAGTTACTTGCATTCTGAAAATATTAAGTCTTAGGTCTTTTAGAAAGTATTGTCTGCCTCTTTGGACCCTGGGCTATCTTTACTAATTCTTCTCAAGTATTATTTTTGTCTCTTCTTTTCATCTAAGACTAAATATTCTCCACTCTGCTGTTCTATTCAGATTAACGTATGGCCATATGGCAGTAGGCTTCTTTATGCTTAGTGCTTTCTCAATTTTAAGTAAGATGTTTGAATATTACACTGATGCAGAAGGTATTTCACCAAACGTAGCTTTTTCTTGTGTGGAGTGGAAAGGGAAGAGGAATAAATCACTGCCTCACTTGAGTACATCTATAGCTGGAAAATATGTGGAAATTTTTCTGATGTTGAGGGAAAAAAAGACAGCATATTGTTATTAAATTTCATTTATTTTTCTTTTACTATGTCCTTTACTGTATCTTAACTGTAGCCTTGCTGTATCCTGAACTCCTCACAGAGGCCTTCTCTGAGCAAACTAAATTAATGATAAAGAATGGTAATTCCTGGCCAGGCACAGTAGCTTACACCTGTAATCCCAGCACTTTGGGACACTGAGGTGGGCAGATCACCTGAGATCAGGAGTTCAAGACTTGCCTGGCCAATGTGGTGAAACCCCATCTCTACTAAAAATACAAAAATTAGCCAGGCATGGTGGCATGCACCTGTAGTCCCAGCTACTCAGAAGGCTGAGGCAGGAGAATGACTTGAACCCCAGAGGCAGAGGCTGCAGTGAGCCAGTGTTACACCACTGTACTTCAGCCTGGGCAACAGTGAGACTCCATCTCAAAAAAAAAAACCAAAAAACTCCTTGCCCTGCTTCTTTATCATTGTATCATTTTAAAAACAACTGACATATATTATGTATATACTAGGTTATTGTCTATTTGTCCCACGAAAATGGAAGCTCAACTGCTATTAGATTAATTTCCCTCCCAGGTCCAATTTTAATTATGTTATTTTGACCAAGCTTATCTTTTATCTTCAATATAGACCTTTTAACTACCTTAAAAAATACAATAAATATAATTATTCTAGACTTCTTTCTTTGTGTGTGTTACTAATTTAACTATTATGTAATCACTTATAGCATAAACTGTATTTTTGAACAGCTTTATTGAGGTGTAATTGATGTATATTAAGCTGTAGATATTTGAAGTATAGGAATTGATATGTTTTCATGTTAGGTATATACCCATGAAATCATCACCACAATCAGGTAATAAACATATAAATTACCCCTCAAAGCTTCTTTTTGTCCATTTGTAATCCATCCCCATCCTGTCCCCAGGAAACCAATGATCTGCTTTCTGTCACTACAGTTTGTATTTTCTAGAAATTGGTATAAAAGGAATCACAGTTTGTACTGTTTGACTTCATTCCCTTAGCTTACCGTTTTGGGATTGATCCATATTGTTACATGGATTAGTAGTATTTTTCCTTTTTATTACCAAGTAATATTTCATTCTATAATTTGCTGCTTTCATTGATTTGTTGATGGACATCTGAGTTATTTCCAGTTTGAGGCCATTAGAAATAACATCTCTACAGACATTTGTGTACTAGTCTTTATGCTATAATTTCTTATGCTTTTATTCCTATGCTTTTTTCAAATTGTCTTTTAGGTTTTGGGGTACATGTGAAGAATATGCAAGATAGTTGCATAGGTACACACATGGCAGTGTGATTTGCTGCCTTCCTCCCCTTCACCTATATCTGGCATTTCTCCCCATGCTATCTCTCCCCAAATCCCCACCCCCCTCATTGTCCTTCCTCTATTTCCCCCCAACAGACCCCAGTGTGTAGTGCTCCCCTCCCTGTGTCCATGTGTTCTCATTGTTCAACACCCACCTATGAGTGAGAACATGCGGTGTTTGATTTTGTGTTCTTGTGTCAGTTTGCTGAGAATGATGGTTTCCAGGTTCATCTATGTCCCTACAAAGGACATGAACTCATCGTTTTTGGTGGCTGCATAACATTCCATGGTGTATATGTGCCACATTTTCCCTTTCCAGTTTATCATCGATGGGCATTTGGGTTGCTTCCAGGTCTTTGCTATTGTGAACTGTGCTGCAATGAACATTAAAAAATAATCTTTATTGATAAGAAATGATGTCTAATGTTTACTATTAACTTTTTCAAAGAAGTTAAAAATCTTGTTAAAACTGGTTTAAAATCCACTCTTATCCCATACTTGTATTATAGAGAATATATGTCTTTTTTTCTTAAGTTGAGAAATTTCTGGAAAAACACTTATGAAAATGCTAAAATCAGATAAGTGAAATAAACTATTTGTGTTTTCTATATTTTCTATGGTGTCTATTCCTGAATAGATGTTTCAAGGTTTTCATTATGTTCCTAGATTGAAGTAAATGGAAACTCTTTCTTAGATAACTTAAAATATATTCCTATTCCAATTCCCAGGTCAGTCTTCTCTAGTGCAGTTGTATTAAATACTTCTCAGTGATGCCAAATTTCTTGATAATGAATAATTCCAGTGTTGTTTTTCACCCCCCTTCATTCCATTTGAGAAGGGGAGTGGAAAGAAGTATTGTATCATACCGTCACACTTTAGACATATGGTCTTATAGAACTTCTTAGGGATCTACTTTAATAAAAATTTAATTTCATCAGATGATTTCACATAGTTAATGAGCATTCTCTCCTATGCTATACCTTCTCTGTTCTAATATAGCTATGGTAAATTTTTCTATCATCTAGAAGAATTGATTCTGTGAATAACTCCTAATATTTTTCTGGAATTAAAAATTACCTGTTGTCGAAAATTCAAATATATATGATTCCTTTATATAAGCTATAAACACATATGATGAATCCATTGATTCATAAGACCTGTTTTTATCTTGATCATAACATTTAATTAAAATCTGATATATGTTAGTTAAGTAAGCTGGCTACTGTACTCAATAAATATATATACCTTTAGAAACATTAAGTCACATGCTATCACCAAACCACATAAGTAGTATTCTTTGAAAATTAAACTCATTGCTTTTGTTCTAAGATCTATTGTTCAAAAAAATCCAGAAAACACACACACACACACACACACACACAAACAATTTTATGATTTAAAAATCCCAATCTTTACTTCGTTTTCTAGAAGAGTCACATGTGACCAGTGCTAATTTAAGGATTATTGATTTTTTATCATTATTATTATACTTTAAGTTCTGGGGGACATATGCAGAACATGCAGATTTGTTACATACATAGGTATACACATGGCATGGTGGTTTGCTGCATCCATCACCCTGTCATCTACATTAAGTATTTCTCCTAATGCTATCCATCCCCTAGCCCTTAGTCCTCTGCTATCCCTTCTTTAGCCCTCACCCCCTGACAGGCCCTGGTGTATGATCTTCCCCTTCCTGTGTTCATGTGTTCTCATTGTTCAGCACCCACTTATGAGCAAGAACATGAGTTTATTTTTCTGTTCTTGTGTCAGTTAGCTGAGAATGATGGTTTCCAGCTTCATCCATGTCCCTGCAAAGAACCTGAACTCATCCTTTTTTATGGCTGCATACTCCTCCACGCTGTATATGTGCCACATTTTCTTTATCCAATCGATTGACGAGCTTTTGGGTTGGTTCCAAGTCTTTGCTACTGTAAACAGTGCCTCAGGGAACATATCTGTGCATGTTTCTTTATCATAGAGTAATTTATAATCCTTTGGGTATATACCCAGTAATGGGATTGCTGGGTCAAATGGTATTTCTAGTTCTAGATCCTTGAGGAATCGCCACACTGTCTTCCGCAATGGTTGAACTAATTTACATTGAACAAATTTATACTCCCACCATCAGTGTAAAAGTGTTCCTATTTCTCCACATATTCTCCAGCATCTGTTGTCTCCTGTTTAATGACTGCCATTCTAACTGGTTTGAGATGGTATCTCAATGTGGTTTTGATTTGCATTTATCTAATGACCAGAGATGATGAGCTTTTTTTCATATATTTGTTGGCTGCATAAATGTCTTCTTTTGAGAAGTGTCTGTTCATATTCTTTGCCCACTTTTTGATGTTTCTTTTTTCTTGTAAATTTGTTTAAGTTCTTTGTAGATTTTGGATATTAGCCCTTTGTCAGATGGGTAGATTGCAAAAATTTTTTCCCATTATGTTGGTTGCCAGTTCTCTCTAATGATAGTTTCTTTTGCTGTGCAGAAGCTCTTTAGTTTAATTAGATCCCATTTGTCTATTTTGGCATTTGTTGCCATTGCTTTTGGTGTTTTAGTCATGAAGTCCTTGCCCATGCCTATGTCCTCAATGGTATTGCCTAGGTTTTCTTCTAGATTTTTTATGGTGTTAGGTCTTATGTTTAAATCTTTAATCCATCTTGA